AAACAACAAGCCACATAAAAAGGAAAACGCATTAGGATTTCAGCTGACTTTCCAGTGCAAACTATGAAAGCCAGAAGAGCCTGGACCAAAGTAGTCCCAGTTTTAAATGACCAAAGATGCCAACCCAGATTACTATACACAACCAAAATGTCTATTATAGACAAAGGGGAAAGAAAAATTTTCTATGACAAAAATGGGCTGAAGGAATTCATGTCCACACAACCAGCCCTTCAGAGAGTTCAGGAAGCAATACAAAGAGCTGAAGAAATGAATGACCATACCCAGGGGTTGAGGAAAGAAATTCAATGAAGGTATAACTGTGGAAAAGTACAGCTATATCAAGATTGTAAACAGAAATAAACATGAGAGCATTCAATACTCATCTCTCATTAATAACTTTAAATATTCACGGACTAAACTCCCCAGTCAAAAGACGACTAGGTGAATGGATTAAGAAACAAAACCCATCTTTTTGTTGTCTGCAAGAAACTCATCTCACTTTCAAGGAGAGATGCTATCTTAAAGTAAAAGGATGGAAAACATATACCAAGCAAATAGTACTAAGAAAATAGGAGGCATTGCAATTCTAATCGCTGACAAAATAGACTTTAAACTAAAACTAATCAGAAGAGATAAAGAGGGCCACTTCATTCTGGTCAGAGGAACAATAAATAAGAAAATATTACAATCATGAACATATATTCACCAAACTCTGGTGCACCCAACTTCATAAAAAAATACTACAGGACTTTAAGACCCAGATTAATCCCAACTCATTAATAGTAGGGGACTTCAATACCCCCACTGTCTCCATTAGATAGGTCAACAGCAGAGAGTTAACAGACAGACATCTGAATTAAACAACACCATTTATCAAATGGACCTAAGATACATCTACCGAGTATTCTACCCAAGCACCAAAGGACATACTTTCTACTCAGCACTCCATGGAACCTTCTCCAAAATCGACCATATACTGGAGCACAAAACAAACCTCAAGAAATAAAAAAGATTGAAATAATTCCATGCATTCTATCAGACCACAATGCAATAAAGCTTACAATCAACACCTGAAAAAGCCCTAATCATCACATGAACATATGGAGGTTAAACAACACACCCCTGAATGATGAATAGGTCAAAAGAGAAATTAAGAAAGAAATAAAAGTATTCCTGGAACTAAATGAAAAGGACAATACAACACGACAAAACCTCTGGGACATGCTGAAAGCTATCCATAGAGGGAAGTTTATCACTCTAAGTGCCTACATCAAAAAATCAGAACACAAATAAATGACTTAACATTGCAACTCAAGACGCTTAAAAAGCAACAAAAAAATGAAACCCAAACCCAGTAGACAAGAAGAAATAACAAAAATCAGGGCAGAAATTAGTGAAATTGAAATGAAGAAAACAATACAAAGAAGCAACGAATCTGCAAAAAAACAGAACACAAATAAATGACTTAACATTGCAACTCAAGACGCTTAAAAAGCAACAAAAAAATGAAACCCAAACCCAGTAGACAAGAAGAAATAACAAAAATCAGGGCAGAAATTAGTGAAATTGAAATGAAGAAAACAATA